CTCTCTCTCTCTCTCTCTCTCTCTCACACACACACACACACACACACACACACACACACGCTCAAACATTTGGTGCTAATATTTGAGCCTGTATGGGAAATTGTTATTTTTCTCTTAAAAGACTGAAATTGCAGTCTATTAGCTAATCAGTATAATATCGGTATTATAGAATAACCAGTGGCTCTCCCAATGGCATTGAACTACAGATCCCAGCTTTGGCCATGCTGGTTTGGCTGCTGGGAGTTGTAGTTTAGCAATGGCTGGAGGACCGTAAGTTCCCTGTCCTTGTACTAAAATTAGGAAAGGCAAGAAACAATGGTTTAGAAAGGAAGAAAAATAGTTCATGAGAAAAAGTAGGACCTCCATAAAGAATGGACACGGTGCCTGAGAATCAGGATATTCAGCAATCTTGCCTAGGGCTTGAATAGATGCAGCGTTGCTAACCTAAACTACATTGACAATGTCATGTGGGAGAAAATGTCTAGCTAAGAGATTCACAAGCTCACAGCTTGTGAGTTTTCTGCTGTAACAGTGTTCTCTTATGCAAATTTTAATAAGATCCGGTTTTTCTTCTCTTGTGTTTTGAAGGACATCAATCAGAAATTGCAGGAAGACAACCAGGAGCTGCGAGACCTTTGTTGTTTCTTGGATGATGACCGGCAGAAAGGCAAAAAAGTATCCCGTGAATGGCAGAGGCTTGGCAGGTATAGTGCCAGCATGATGCATAAAGAGGTTGCCTTATATTTGCAAAAGCTGAAGGAACTGGAAGTAAGGCAGGAAGAAGTTGTGAAGGAAAACTTGGAACTGAAGGAGCTTTGTGTCTTGTTGGATGAAGAAAAGGGTGGTGTTGCTGGCTGCCGAAATTCAATTGATAGCCAAGCCAGTCTTTGCCAATTAAATGCCACAAGTACATTCATAAGGGATGTTGGAGATGGGAGTAGTACCTCCAGTACTGGGAGCACTGATAGTCCTGATCACCATAAGCACCATTCAAGCTCAAGTCCTGAGCACCTCCAAAAAACAAGGAGTGAGGGAAGTCCCGAGCATCAAAAGCACCGGAGTGCTAGTCCTGACCACCTCCACAAACCCCGAAGTTCTGGAAGTCCTGACCACCAGAAGCACCTAAAAGGACCAAGTCCAGAGCATCATAAAACTCTTGCCAAAGGTACTGCAGAGCAGCAGAAGCACAGCTGTAGCAGTCCAGAAACACTGCCAAAGCACATGTTGAGTGGGAGCCCAGAACACTTTCAAAAGCATAGGCCTGGGAGCAGTCCAGAACATCAAAAGCACAGCAGCAGTGGAAGCCCTGAACTTCTTCAAAAGCATGCTCTGAGTGGAAGCACAGAACACCTCCAAAAAGTGAGGGGCACTAGTCCTGAGCATCTCAAACAGCACTATGGGGGAAGTCCAGAGCACCTCAAACATTTGGGCAGTGGCAGCAGAGAAGGCACCTTAAGGAGACAAGTTGCAGATGATCTGTCACCCCATCACAGGGGCCTCTACAATGGGATGAATGGTGGGTCTTCCTTAGTTCCTTCCTTTATTAATTATGATGATGTTGAGGGCAGTGGTTGAGATTTTTTAAATGATGGGCACCAATTACCAGGAATACAGTACAAATGTACCTTTGGGTATGTGGCATATTCACAATGAAGCCATTTTTCATTTTATCCTCGTAACCAGGAATCATTGTTTTTGCATTTGCTCCCTTTGAGAAGTGCAGATGAAGTTAAAGGATGCATTGCTGTAATAGGCTGCACAGTAGTTGCATCTCATGGGCTTTGTGGAAGTGTCTTGCCTGCATGAAGAGGCATTGAAATAAAGTGGTTGCAGAGTCTGAGAGCATGTAGGCTTGCTATAGAAAGGAGAGGTAAGAGTGAAATGAAGGATAGTGTCCTCAACTCAAGCAGAAGACTTTGAGGAGTGTGGGGGGTCTTTGCATTTCTTAATTAGCTTCTGTTTCCTTTAGGCATAGGTCCTAGTTTGCTTTCATATACCTAATTGAGACATGTTGGTACTGATAGATAATGTTAAGAACTTTGAAGTATTTAGCACAATGCGCTCCAGTTATTTGTAAATGTTGTAGCACATAACAAAAAGGGATCCCAATGGCAAGCAGGCTTTGCAGGACTGGGATCTCATTAGTAACATTTTGGCTCTATTGTTGCTGAGAATGGTCTGACTGAGAAGCAAAATGAAAGTATTTAAAGTTGAAAAGTGATAATATTATTTCTGATTGCAGGGCTGCCTTTTTTTTAGGGAGGTGGGCTGTTTCCTCATTATATACAAAATTGGTTCCAAATACAAAGCTAGGTTACTGAGTATGCTGTTTTTTTTTTTTTTTACTGGCTGAGC